GCACAGCCCAGGGGTTACCGTTCAGGAGATGCTGGAAATAGCCCGATTATTTTGGGCTTCTGTTTTATATCCATCGGTAGCAATGATTATGATTCATGGAGGGTAAGCGATGCTGTTTACCAAACTCTCGAAGCATTCGGCTGGGAAAGTCGTTTTAAATGAGAGTGTCCTCACCTCTAATAAAAATCGTACCCTTCAACACACTGGATATGAAATAAGGCGAAAAAAATCCGAGGGCTGTCTAACTTTTGAGGCGAAACGGTACATGCGCCTTAGTAATCTCAGAAAGGCCTTCTTGATCTTATTAAAGAGTTCACTCAACGTAGTACATTTTCAAGAAATAGCTATGACAACACATTTCAGATAGCATGTTTCTTCGTCATTTTTGGTACGGTGTATTTTCTCGAATCTATAGGAGGCTTTTATATGACAAGGTAAGCATATGAATTAACCACGATTGATTCCATGCGGAATCCTACCGTAGCGATGCGAAATTTCTCCACAATATCAATATTAATAGTAGTATTTCAGTGCCATCACATATATCGAAAAACAATTTCAAATTCCATCAAAATTAAGCGGACTGATGGTGTCAGCGTCTGACTTTGCCTACATTCCTGTTGTTGTATTTACGAGCTATTTTGGTGGAAAGGTAAGACGATGCTGGTTTAGAGTTGTCGAACTTCTAGGTAATTCTATACAAAAAAGTCGTTTTTCTCAAAGTGAAAGTTTCTATGTGAGATTCGAATCCTCCCGATCCTTCACCATACGGCAAATGTTTTTCAACGCTTCAAAATGAAGCGTTCGTTTCACCAATAGCTATGATTCATGTTTAACTGCAGAGCTGCTGCAAGGGTGATCGCATAGGCAGAAATCAACGGATCCGGAATATGTCTGACCTTTTAATATCCACTTCAAATGACCAACCAGTCATTTACCGCTGGATCGTCCAAAACCATTTGTCTTTTTTTTTTCAAAATTAACATTGATTGCTGATCCATAGCGGCTTTTCGGAAGCAGAATTTTCTTCCCAATCTTTTTTTCTCTTCCTTCTCAACGCGGAGCCGTTCCTCCTGTGACTGCCCCACACCCACGAATATTAGCAGCCCCTCCAGTGTTGTCACCCTGCCACAACCTAAAATTCAAGCCAAATTATAAGAGCTCTGGAAGCGAAGCATGAGTGCAGATCAATCCTTTTCTCATACTTCAGGATTCGATTTGAGAGCCGAAAATCTAATCAGGAAAAATAGCGACGTAACTAATTTGACAACTTAATACTTATAAAGTATGTTACAATAGTAATGAAGTATGAGCCCTGGGCTCGCAAGCTCCAATGATTCGCAGGTTGCCCCGACTAAATGCAATCTCTACCTTCATTTCCCTCTCCCCAAAATGTTCGCCTGCAATGGCTTGATAAAATTACCCATTGGGTTGAACACTAGCTTTTTAAAAGGTACTCAAAAAGGTCTTTCCCAGCCTTAACTAAAAGATTATGGTCATATCACTTCAAAATGCGATAGGAAGTAACAGATTGTCTCTGATTCGCTTTACTGACAGAACTTGCTTGTTGTTTTCAGTTCAGTTATACTGAATAGAGTACGATAGTAACGACAAGCTCATCCGGTAAACCACTGACATAGCGATATATGAGGATGAATCAAGGCGACCCATATTCAAAATAGTTACTTCTTTTCTCTCTTTATTTCGCATCATTTTCATATATTTTTCCTCATTTCGGTGGAAAGCGTTGCTTTTATGTGAAAAAGCCGAAATCGCCTCTCTTAGGAAAAGGGCTAGGCAATACATTATAAAGTTTCCATTTCTTGTTTGACTTGTGTAAATCGAGATCCATCATTCACCGGTGGTTAAGTGGTTCCTGAGAATTTCCTTTCTTGATCAAAGGTTTTCAACTAGACGACCAAACTGTCGTTTCCAGAACCTGTAAATGTTTACTGACTTTGCCAGTTCGTCAAAACTACAGTCTGCGATGAAGTTTGGTTTTGTAGGCTGCATACTGAGAGAGTAATCCATTACACCGGAAAAGTGTGTATACCTGTTATCAATACAATAAAAAGAAAGCCTCGCCGGCGGTGGGATAGGGTTTGGGTGGCAGGAATGCACGCCTCCTTAGAAGTGCCCGTCCCAAATCGAGTCGGTGCCAGCAAGTACATAAGACAGCGCAATACATGAACCATCACTGAATTACTGTTTGAGATTTTCCGAGGGAACAAAAAAAACATTTTTTTCATGATATGTCGAGACTGAAATAGGAAAAACCCTATTGGGACGGTGGTATTCAGAATTTCGAGGCTATTTTTCCTATGCTCTGTTCAGGGCTACCTGACCGAGTTGTACCGAATCTTTTTTCTACTGAAATACGTCACTTGTGTTATCTGTTGATACTGAGAACCTGCGCCTGATGAAGCGTCACAGATCCCAGGAATACCTCAGTATGAATCGCTGCCCTCAAACTCCTATTCGGTACGGCGTTTTGGTATAATTACCGCACCCATTCAGTATCGCTGCTCACTTCTTTCTCTGAATGCTCAGTCCCAACGGTGGCTCTGTTTGGATAAAATCAGAGCCTTCGAGGCATTTGAACTTCACAGCAAAGTTGAACGTTGAATCGAACCTTGTGTAGCGAACTCTCTACGAAAGAACCGTGAAGGTAGGACAGTGATGAATTGAAAGCGCCTCTTCTTGGCTTTCAAGGTGGTATGGCATTATACAACCCACGGTTGAGTTCAACATGGACTCATGAAGACTAGCCGCACAGAACCGAATTCATTGGTTACAGTTTAGTCGTACTGAATAGAGTGCGACAATGAGGACGGGCTCATCCGGTCGTAAACCATCGATCTCCCAAAATCATAGTGAGAGCGCTGTATTTGTTGTAATTGTGGTGGACGCTGTGTCTAATCCCGTGTCACGAGAAACATAGCTAGAAAAATATTTTTCTACCGGATGTTTCGGTATTGCAATCAACGTGTTTCGGGGAATGCGAAACTAGTCCACTTTTTGGTCACATTCATGTGGGCTAATTCGCCGAGTAAATCGTCAATGATTCTTAATGACTGGTTTAGTTTCGAGAAGCGTTCAATGAAGTACTCGCAGTAATAGTCTATCAGTATGTCCAAAAAACTGGCGATTTTCAATAAACGTTCGAAACAGTTAGGTAGAGAATGTGGAGACTCTAGTTCCATACGTGTAGTTTAAAGCTCATTACAACAGGATGTGGATGTTCCTCCCATGTGGTATATTTTCACTGTGACTGACACTGGTGTTTCAGTCGTTTAAAAGGCAACCTAGCGGAAATTAATTACTGAAACAGAACAGTTTCTAATCCTTGAAATGGTAGACTATTCAGATTTATGCTAAACATATGCTCCAAAGAAGTTTCTAAATCTAAAGGTCAAACAGCCCCTCTGAAGCTCAACAGAGTCAACGTATTCAGATTTTTGTGCATAACTGAAAAACACAACTCCTCATCAGTACGAATCTGTGGCGTCTCAGAATGATGTGTGGAATGTTGTAGGGTCGAATGACAGACTAGGTAGAGGGCCATAAGAGCTCAAAAGTCGTCGATCAGGGCCACGCCCAGAGAAGTACGTGCGCCACCAGTACAAGCCTACCATTTACAATTGAGCACATTTATACAGCCAGCTGATCGTTCGATTCGCCTTCATAAATGATTCCATCCATTTTGTGGTACAACCTCAGCGTAAGGGTCCCAAAGAGGATGAACCTGAGCAAGGTCACAAAACACCCCTTTCAGGGGAGCGTCCATTCCTCGCGTCCTTTGAAACTAGGTCACCCCGCCCACTTCGCGCGCGGCGCAGCCCACTTCGATCTCAAGATGACATCACAGTACCATTAAGTGTCAATGGAGCAGATGATTTGCATTAGTTCGCATTATCTTCCCTTTAGACTTACTGTCGTGGGCCAAGCTCCATTCACATGCCCCACTAACAACTGTGACGTGCGTCAAAAATCGCGAGCTGACGAGCCGCGTGCCATGGCTGCGGAGTTTCGACGGACGCGCGGAACGAAACGCACCCCTTCCCCCCGTCCTCCTGTAAGTATATTGACTCAGGCACAATGCCATAGGAAATAACTTCTGTGATTGCACGGCGTGAACTTTGCTCTTCCTACTAATGAGTGTTTCCTGCCAAGTTAACGATTATTTCAATTGTTAACGAGAGATTAATTGAGAATAACAGCAGCTAGAACCTTTGAATAACGCTCGGTTCTCTCGGTTCTTCGTAGGTGCATCCTTCACTTTGAGATAGGGAGTTAGTGCCTGCTACGCGTTTCATTTCATTGACAGAAACCTTCCAGCAGATCTAGTAATTACCTCCTATTGAATAGAAGTGAAGCAGCTCATCCGGATTGGACCCATCCGTTGTAGATCGTATGACAGCTTAGCAATGCATCGTATATACTATATTGGAACACCAGTTTTCAGGGAAATCGAGCTCGTTGGATTGGAGGAGGTTGCATGCTGATCGCCATCGCGGATCTCCTCATCAGCTCCTCCAGCTTTCTGTTCCCAGCGAAGGAATACTATCTGAACAAATCTTCCATTTCAAACTCCCTAGTCTATGAAGTGAATAGGTAAGCACAATTCATGCTCTTCTCCCATACCATGAAATACTAAACACCTGTCTATTTACTATTCATTTTTTATTTATACCCTCGACTGATTGCTTCACAACAACTATGACGTATAAGTATCAAGTACTCGCCACTCACTCACTCGCCGCACTGTAAAATGTGGGATCGTTAAGGATGTGAGACAGCGAAGATGCCTGATAGCCAGTAAGCGCAACCGTTGGCCAAACTTACCGCCTCNAAATACTAAACACCTGTCTATTTACTATTCATTTTTTATTTATACCCTCGACTGATTGCTTCACAACAACTATGATGTATAAGTATCAAGTAACCCACTCGCCGCACTGTAAAATGAGGGATCGTTAAGGATGTGAGACAGCGAAGATGCCTGATAGCCAGTAAGCGCAACCGTTGGCCAAACTTACCGCCTCTTCAGGCTGATGTAATTGAGATATACAGACAGATGTATTACGATCTAAAAAGAGAAGGACAATACTTCAAAGAGAGGCAGAAAAGCAGAGCAGCTGTCTGGGTGACCTCTCGGTCTGAACAATCCCAATTACCTCAAAATGTGGAGGCCCCTAGGAAAATCCTCCTTCTTACAGCTTGAGCATAACACCGGACATTGTGCACATGCTGTAAGCAGGGAAATATGCACAGGGGTCTTCACACTTCGTGTGCTGTAAGCAGGGAAATAGGCACAGGGGTCTTCACACTTTGTGGTAAATGTGAATAAGCAGACCGTCACGATCATCCAGGCAGCTGCATGCTTTTTTGAC